GGTGGGGGTAGGGGGTGGGGGGACGGGCAGCCAGAGGGTGAAACAAGCAGAACAGTGAGCTGGGCCCATTGCTTCTGCCTGGGGCAGATGTGGCAGATGTGACGATAAGGGTGACCGCGCGGCAGCGCAGGCAAACAGACAACCAGCAGGCGCTGTGTGGGCCTTGCCGCGGCTGGTGTGCAATCAGCGCCTCGCCTCGCCTGCCTGCCGTCCTAGGCAGACGCGCACCGGCTGTGGCGGCCCTGATGGAGTCCCTGCGCGGCCCACAGGGCCGTATGCGTGTGACGTGGGCGTACGCGTCGTCCAGGTTGAAGCCCTGGGGCCAGCGAGGCCGTGACAGGGGGGCGGGGGTCGATTGCGAAAATGGGTGCAAGAGCGGGAGGGGCGGGTACTTGCTTGATGAACTGGTGTGCGGCGCACGAGGAAACCACGCAGGCCCATGCCTGAGGTCCCGCTTCTTCGGAGCAGGCAGCAGCGCCCATGCACACCACTCTCCCGCAGCCCCCCCAGCACCCCGCGCAACCCCATCAACCCCTGCACCCCCAGCAACCCCTGGTCCCACACCCCCATCCCGTCCCACCTGGAACCAGTAGAGGTAGGCGATGCACACCGCAGGCGCGCGGCCCAGCCCCGCAGTGCAGTGGACGTACACGCGCCCGCCGCTGGCCTCCGCCTTCTTCATGGCGTCCGCCACCTCGCGCACCGCCTTGGGCAGCTGGTGGCGCAGGGAGTCTGCGCTAAAGTCCACTATGGAGGGGCGCCGTATGTCGACCCCGAGCTCGGCGGCACGCGCCGCGTTGGCGCCAAAGTCAACCCTGGCGAGAGCACCACCACGGGGTGGGGCGGGGCGTGTGGGCGGCTCGGCCGCAGTGCCGCTCATGCAGGGCCAGGTGCCCCAGCTCTGGCAAGCCAACCACAAGGCGCGAGTAAGCACCCTGACCAGGTTGGCTTGCAGCACACCCTCTGGCGCAACTCCTCGACCCCTCACCCCCAGTGCGCTATGTCCTTGTCTTGCTGCAGATTCACCAGCGTCACTACACCATGGCCCTTCACAAGTTCTGTGACCTTTGGGTCGTGATTGGGGTGCAAGGAGGCGCAGGGTCACGCCCACGCAGAGAAACCAGGTAAGCAGGGTGTAAGCCGGGAGGAGTGCATGGTGGCATGAGCTTGCGGCATGCGCCAGAAGATGAGCACTAGGTTTAAAGGCACAAGTGCGCGTGGGGCCAGGCATGAGGAAACACACTGCGCACTCCTCCCTAACACACACACACACACACATACGTGTGTGCGACCACACACGCACACACATACACACACACACTCACCTCGTCCGTGTTTCGTGGCTGTGTGCCGCACAGCAGGCGTGGGAACACCTCATGAAAATAGAGGCCCCTGGAAGGGAGGGGTTGAGAGAGGAATTTGGCATTCAGCGCCTGGGGCGATTCGGCGTTGCAGAGGCTAGAGGTAGGAAGGTGGAGCGGGCTGCAGGGTAGGGAGGCCCGCAATACCGTAGGTGCTTGGGGTGGTAAAACGGACGCGTGGCAGCGGTAAGTTGCCACCACAGCGTTGTGCTGAGGGGACCGCAGCATGACGCAGCCACGCACCGGTCAAAGTGGTAGCAGAAAGGTTCGGTCCAGCCCATCTGCAAAAAAAAGAGTGATGTTGCGCATGAGGGTGCACGCACGACGTGCAGAAAAGACAGACCACCCAGCGCACGAAAAGTGCAACGCAATGCTGCTACTGACAGCACGCGGTGCAGAGCGGCTGCTCCCATCGCACACCTGCGCCGCCATCTGCTTGTTGTAGGCCTCGTCCACCACTGTCTGCAGGGGCGCTTCGACCACCGTTGCAGTCACAGGCCCCCTTTGTGCGGCGTCGTGCGCCGTTGGAACCCGGGCCTGCCGCCCAGGCGGCGCCTGTCGGGCCGCCGATGGCTGCAGCCGGGGGCCATAGGATACCCTATTCACGCCCCCGAGGGCGTGTGCACAGTGCATGACCTCGCGGGCGTGCCTGCACTCACAGCAGTCTCGGGCCAAGACCCACACAGAGGTACTAAAGAAAGAAACGCTCGACTAGATATGTGGTGGTGCAGTGTAGTTGGTGATGGCCTCGTATACCGGTATCGTGCTATCAAATGGCGCAAGCGTCTGCTCTTTGCAAAAACGAACCAGCCTGGGCCCTCATCAGCTTATAAGAATGCCCCTCGGTAGAACGGGTGACGATGATACGGACTAGATTTGGGTGCAGCATTTGAGAAATGTTTGTGCGTCAACAGACTTGAACCGCTCGGGTGATATCGGATCACCAGGAGCATCAGCATCGGCTGCTTGTCTCTGTGCGTAGGCGTGCGCAACAACAGCACCGTAGCGAGTCGTCTAGTTCATCATTCTTGGGCTGTTTCGGTATCCGATCTTGCCATCGCCGCGTGTTGCAGGGGCCCGGCCAGTCCGCTCAGCGTAGTGGCGGCGCGTGGCTCATCTCAGCAGGACGAGCACTTCTGTGTGCCGTGCCACGCAGGCTAGTAGACCTTTATTGAAGTTCCAGACAATGTGCAACTGGATTCGCTATGCCTGCATGCGCATATGGCAACCAGCCTCGCAAAAATCTTTATGCGAACAGTCCACAAGTCCAGGCGAAGCCGCAATCACCAGCATGCACACGAGCCTGTGTGACAGGATGGCGAATGTCGCTTATCATCGCTGTCCCGTCTGCTGCATGTGGATCCCGGCAAGGACGCATGGGTCTCGGTATCACGCGGCCTGCTGGCAGGGGGCGGGGTCGGTGCTGGTAAGCTTGCTAACACTTGCGCAGCACAGCGACGAGGGCTTGCCAGTGCTGCTAGTCATCATGTTGCTGCCAGCAGGCCGCGGCACAGATGCGTTGGCGGCTGCAAAATTGGGCGGAATATGGGGCTGGACATGGCTGACAGCTGTTGTGTAGGATGAAGAGCGGTTTGTGATGCACGCAGAGTGGACTTGGCTGCACGGTTCCTCTGCCAGAGCAGTGCACAGCTGTGATGCAAGGATTGCAGATGGTCTGAGGATAACACGCAGCGGCCAGCCAGCATGTCTTCCATACCGCACCCGCGCAGGCCAGCCGCTGAAGTTGCAGCCAACGATGGCGCCGGCCTACCCGGTGGGGCCCACATGCACCGAGGCGGCAATTGCGCTCGCGGTGGTCGTGTTGCCCGGTAAACAGCGGTCACGGAACCCAGCGAGCAGTAGTGGTGCTGGGTGGAGGGACGCGTATATCTGGAGGCGCTTACTCAGGGTACCTCGGGCCAAGAGGGCGGCAGCTAGTGGGGCCCCTTGGGGTGCATTGCCACCTGGCCCTGCGCTGATGATGCTCGACGCGAAGGGAGGTGACGTTGGCGCCGCCGCAGATGCAGCTCACGTGGCACTTGAGGGCTGCCGCATTTCTAGTGGTAACGCGCTGGTGAGTACGAAAGGTTTACTGCGGGCGGCGGTTCGTGGAGTGCGGGCGCTGCTCCAGTCGTTGCACTAGCCGTAGGGTTTATTGTACCCTGAGCTGCAACAAGCCGACGCAACCATCACCAGCTGCCCCACCACGTCGCGCCTACCTCTGCGCCGGGCCACAAACTGGTCTGCACAGGCTGACCTTGGGATCAGCCTAAGCTTCTGCCACTCACAGCTTGCTTGCTCCACGCTTTTGGAACTCTGCTTGCCACGCGCTTGGCATTTGTAATGTGTGCGCTTGCCATGCACATACATGCATGCTAAACAGCGGCGTGACAAGCCAGATCCACTCCTGTACATATCGGCACCAACCAGTCCAAGCAACGCACATGCGAGCGAGAGCAAGCACGTAGGGTTTAGCAAGCACATTGCTTGTCAAGTCTTCTTTCCGACCTGTCAAGTGTCTCACAATTTGGTAGGTGTGAGGGATGGAGGAGGCACAAATTGTGGCTGAGTGACAGGTTATTAAATGTTCTGAGGATGTACTGTGGTGCTGTTGCACATCCGACGCTGCACTGGGCTGGTGTTGCACGTCCGACATCTGCAAAATTGCCCGAGTCTTGGATGTAGCAAAATGAAGTCAGGCAGCAGCGACGCAGCGGCGGAGTACAGCTCTGACGGCGGCAAGTGATGTAGTATCCATTTGTGTGTGTCATTCAACAATCCTTGTGGTGTCAATGCTCAAGGCTGCGCCAACGGCTGGTGTGACTGAGGGCAAGCTGACCGTGTACACAAAGCAACGGGGGGCGTCCTCAGACCCTTCTACGCTTGTATTATCCAACGCTCTTCTGTACAGACCAAATGATTGTCAATGGTGCAAGTGTGGTGAGTGAGTGCACTTGGGTGACCCTTCGGGTGACATAGATCTGGGTCTGCTGCACTTCGGGACTTTTGCATAATTGTCAGCATCCCTGATTGAACGGCGGACGCACTTCACCAGCCGCATGCTGGCTGTTGGCAGCGTGTTGCTCGGGAGGGCCGCAACCCCCACTGGCCACAGGGAAACACATCAGACTTGTTGAATTCAAGACGCTGTAGTTCAGTGATATGAACGCGGGGCTGAGGGGCCCCTCGGGCTGCTCGTCATTTCATCGTCTTTCCTCGCGTTGGAGCAGCTATCGGCATCAGCGGGCCTTCGACAGCAGCAGCCCGAGGCACCGACGAAGCGATGCAAGGGGTTGGGTGCGGCCATGCTTGGTTTCTGCCATCGACCCCCATGCACGGGGTCAGCGGTTCATGGGGCGCGCAGCAGCATCCTTCGTGCTCAATTTGAGCAGCGGGGCTTCGGACGAGGAGATCCCCTTGGCGCAGGAGGAGCGGCTAGGCACTGACGGCGGATATGTGCAGCAGGTCAGTGTGCGTTGATGGATGTGCGGACGCTCTTGGCGCATGCTGTGCATGGGTGCCCGCCACAAACACATATTTTTCTGTTGATCAAGCATGTTGCATGTGGGCATGCGTGCTTGCATGTGTGCACATGCCGCAGTGGGGCGTGGTCGGAGCGCGGCCTCAACGGACTGGGTTGCGGGTCCCTACTGAGCACCACACCCAACATAACCCCCTATGGCTTTGCGGACTACCATTACATCTCCAATGGCTGCAACAACAGCCATTAACAGGGCAGTGGGCGCAGGAGCGGGAACGGGAGAGGCCAGAACGGGAGAAGAAGCCGCGGCTAGTCAGGGTGCAGCTGTCGGTGCACTACCGCGTGCACTCGCGCCAGATGCTCTGCATCGGGGGCTCGCAGGTGCGGGTCGGCTCAGCTTGGTATGATCTGGCAGGCCGCAGAAATCACGCATATTTTTGACATCAATGCAGCTGCTGCATGCACACGATGGCAAAAGGCGAGCGGCTTGTGATGCATCACGCATCAGGCACGGCATCCTCTGACACTGCTACCTCCCTTTCCCGGCCCCCACCCCCAGATACCATTTGGCTGGTCGTTTTTGAGCATCGCTAAGGTGCCCATGACGTGGCTGCAGGGTGACGTGTGGCAGGCTGAGGTGTTGTTGCCTGCGGGGCAGCGCATCGAGTACAAGTACGTTATCTTGGAGGAGCAGGTGCTTGCTGGGGTGGGGCCCTTTGTCTGCTTGGAGAACGGATTGTGGGTGGCTGCCAAATTAGAGAGTAGGGCAGGGGGGAGGCATTGACTTGCAATGGGACGCACCTTGTGGCAATTCCAGGGTTCATGGCAACTGACATGGTGCTTGTGGTTGCTGTCCTGAAGTGTACACCCTCCCATCCTATACTTGCTTGCCCAAACCCGCCAGGATTGGATCAAGCTTGAGAACGAAGATGCAGAGGGGCTGGTTGAGATCAGCTACCGCAGCGGGACCGAGCCCGGGAAACCTCCGGACGTGCAGGTGTGGATTTTTGAGGTGACGCATTGATGGCGTGGGCCCGGAATTGCGTCATTAGGGCTTTGGGCAGGCCAGGCAACGAGTGCGCCTGGCCTTGCAACAGCCCCATGCAGTGTACAGCTCACACACTCCCTTGCATTAACAACTCATGTTCGCTTGCTACCCCCCCCCCCCTTCCAGATGATTCAGAAGCAGATGGCTATTGTGGCATGGCAGCCGGGGCCCAACCGCATAGTGCAGGTCCCAACAGAGGTGTGTCGATGAATTGCTCGGACATGAATATCACGCACGCAGCGCTGCCTTGCACGGGCTGCAGGCACGCTGCTCACGCATCGTCGTCGATGGCCAGCTCCCCTCCTCTTCACCCAACCCAGGGCTGATTATCACTTCACCCTGGAGCCCATCCCGCATCAATATTACGCCCTCACCTTCTCACCTCGTGCCGCGCATCCCCCTCTCCCCCAGGAGGAGCTGGGCGCACTCGCCCTGGGGGAGGTGGTGGAGCGCGTCCCTGCGCGCCCGCCCCCGCGCTCCGTGCTGGAGGCCCCCCGGCAGCCCGACCCCTTTGAGGGCACCTGGGAGGCACTGGAGATGGGCAAGGACGGGGAGCCGCTGCTGGACAGGCACGACGTGTGGGGCTGGACGCCGCCCAGCAGCGGCCGGCCCCCCAACATGCGCAATCTGCGGTTCGACAACTGAGGCCAGTGCAGCAGCGTAAGCAGCAGCAGCAGCAGCAGGAAGCACCTGGCCGCAGCCGCGGCTCCTGGACTGGGGGTTGCAACTTGCAGTCCGGGGCAGCTGAATGAAGCCGCCAGCAGGGTTATCACGGAGCATCACCCCGACAGCAGCGGCAGCAGCCGCAACAGCTGCGGCGCCAGCAGTGAGGCTCCCATCAACCCACCATGGCGCCATGACACCAAGCCCAAGGAGCCTGCTGTGCTTGGCCAAAGGCAGCGCAGCTGGTGCTGTTACAGAAAGGTGCGAGCAAGCGAGCACCCCTGCACGGCCTCCTCCTTGGTGCATCAGGCAATCAGGCGGCTACACAGGCACCTGGCGCGCGCTGTCTTCACAGCAGTTTTGCAAGCGATCATTTGCCGTTCGTTAGTGAGTTCTTGACTGGTTGTTTCGTCGGTGTGGGGGCATTGGTGGTCTGGTGGACAGACCCCGCCACATAGGCACCCCTCAGCATGCGTGGCAAAGTGGTGTGCTTGGCACCTCCCATGCGCCCTAGGTGCTGAGATGCTCTGTGAGAGCCCGTTCACACGCATGACTGCGCCCTGCACGGCAGCTGTTCTTGCGCTGCTGCTGCCCTGTTGCTGCACAGCTGCTGAAAGCATGGCTTGCTTGGGGTGGACGTGCTTGGGACGCTTGCCTGAGAACACAATTTTGCTTGCAGCAGCAGCAGCAGCAGCAGCAGCAGCAGCAGCACGCAACAGACATGACAATCGGCGACATGGCGCGGGCCCCCTGTGGGCGGACCATTGCCAAGGTGCTGCTGCCTGCGGCAGTGGCTGTGGTGGACGACTCCCTGACTCGACATGGCGTTGCCCCCGGCGTGTGCTTGCCTCAGGTGCAGTGCCTGTGCAATTTTGGCAGGGCATGCCTAATCCATTTTGTGTGAGCGCATGTTGCGCGCGGCGCTGAGCGCACCACCCCGTGCCTGCGTGCCATGCAGAAGAGCAACGTACGCCTTTTGATTGAAGTGCTTGATGCAAGCGGGGCTTATTGCACACGCCAGAACGCATTCGCTATGTATGTGCCGCGTGCGCACACCAGCATAGATACCCAGCCTTTATGCAGGATACTCATGCACCTTGTCTGCCTATCGCCGAGTGCGGGCACCCACCCACACTTAAACACATTGGGTATGCCCCCTTTTCCCTTCCTCTTTTGGCTCACTTCTTGGCCCTTGGGCTGCTGCTGGTCTCTCTTTTTTTCCTGCGGGAGGTCGAGCTGCGCATGTGTAACCCATAAGTCAAGCTGACTGTCCTCCGCCACACGGGTCGTTCGACAGCTGATTTGACAGCTAGTGGCACAGACCCTCTGGACTGTTTAATAACACACTCGAATGCTGTACACGTCAGGGCGGCTGTTAGAGACTGTAGAGACGCCATCTGTGTTGCAGCAACCAGTAGACGGGCCCAGAGGTTTCCTGCAATTTGCACCCCTGGATCCCTCAGCACTGGCGCGAGTACCCCTCAACTTTCCATGCTGGTGGCAGCTGAAGCTGTGATTACCCCTGGCATGTAAATGCTTTGCAACGATGGCAAGAACTGGTTTTTGGGGCTGCCGTTAGCTGCTGCCAGTGATGCAGACATCTGCACCAGAGACGCTCGCGGCGTTCTTTGATCAAGCTGCTGGCCTTGCTCTTCCACATCCACAAGCAAGCAGCTTAAGTCAATGCATATGCCCCTCTCCTGCTTGTCTCCAAAGCCAACTTGGTTGAACTTCTGCTGTGCTCGTAGGCATGAAGGCAAGTGACTCGGCTTGTGCATCACAGCAGAATACTGTCTTTGGGGGTCTCCATGCATAAGGGATAGTCATGACTGCATCAATCCGCACACCAACCTTGAGGCCAATTAACACTTGCTCTGCCACATGCCTGGTCAAGAACCCAGCAGAACCCTTACCTACTTTCACGGAGAGGGCCAGGAGAAGCACCCACCGTTCCAGCGGGGAGTGAAACAAGGTGACATGGGTGGCATTTGTGCACAGGGCAGCAGGCATCTGCGGAGGTTGAAAGTTTTTGGAGTAGTCTCGACAACGAACCAGTGCATCGTGGCTTCCAACCCTCCCTTTTGGGGTCGCTGCAAGCTGGGCTGGGTGCTGCTGGTATCCAAGTTGCCGCTTCCGCTGTGCCCCTTGTCGCACCTACACAGAGTTCAAGGTTGTATGCGCAGGGAACGGTTGCAGACACACCCGTGCCATCAGGGATGGTGGGGAATCTAGCTGAGCCAGCAGTCGCGCGTGTACCTCAATGTTCTTACGCAATCACCTTTCCCTCGCCTCTGCGCCGTTCTGTTGGCGCTGCCTGGCGGGTCTGGTAACATCCCTCATGATACTACCAGGCACAATATGCCATCTCTGCAAGACATTGGCAAAGTCTGGACGTCCGTGCCACCGGTTGTTGTGGCCTGCATGCGCCCTGCACATATCATCCTGCGCACTGCAGCCATTCTGGTGGCGCGATGAGATTCACTGCTGCTTCAGCTGCTTCGCATGCTTATACAGTCGTACGGCCGCAAGTTCGCCTCAAAGGTCCGATTGACAGTGCTGCCTGTGCCTTTGCATGCATGAGGTCACGCCAGCAGCCAGCCTTCAACTTGCAGCTCCCCTTGCAGCACGCTGCCGCGAACTGGTTGTGCACCGTACATAGACTCCTCGTAGCATGCATGCAGTGACGAGGGTCGATCACCGTGGGCTCATATAGCCTTACTCACTCATCATACTGTAGCCAAGTGCATCCATCCTGATCGCATCAACCAGGCATCAAAACTTGCATTTCAGGGGGCCGGGCGGCGCCGGGGGGCGGGCGCGCGCGAAGTCAACAAAAATCCCTATATGGTAACAACTATACTGTACCCTCTGGCATTCCAGGGAAAGCGCAGCACCGTACCGTAGGCTTCATCGACCATCACAGCATCTTGGGGCGGTGTCCTGTATATACCAAAATCCCTGTTCCTTTCCTCGCGCGGTTGTGACCTTTTGTGATCTGACGGGTCACGACCATGCCCATTCAGACGGCTTTAGCAGTAAACAAGAAATGTGTCCCCATGTCAGGGCATACGCAAAAATGCAGGCGTCGCTTGGCACCGCCCATAGAGGTGACATTGTTGCACCCACAACACCTTGAGCAACGCAAGCGCACCGATGTCGACATTGACGCTTGTAGATGTTCCCCTTGAAACCCTCGCCAGGCGTCCCTGGCGATGACAGCAGCTGTTGCATTAGCCGCCCTGCCTGCATCAGTGGCAACTGACGCCGCTCTTGACAGGTAAGCAAGGCGTGTGGCAACCCAGCCTGGGCAAGCGACTGATGAGACCCGGGTCCATAACTGGGGCGTTGGTGCATGCTTGTGAACACGCAGTCCATTTGGTGCACCTGCACTCCTCCTCGTCACCAGGGTCACCGACCGCATCGGCCGTGTCACTAACGCAAAAACACCCGGGGGAGTGAGACTGTACATCGCGCGCCCACAGCAGCATCAGCAGCAGCAACAGCAGGCGGCCGCGGTGCCTGGCGGCCACCCTGCAGTGTTGCTGATTAATCAGATCTTTGGCCTGCAGCCACGGGTGGGCACGCATGCGCCCTGCAGGGTGGGGCCGAGGCAGTCGCTTTGACCGGAGGCGGCTGGGGAGCGCCAGCAACAGGGCAGCACGGGCGGACCAGCGCGGTCCAACCACACCGCCGGGGCGGCCGCCCTGTGCCGCCCTGCAGCCACCTCGTGCACCCCACACCCTGCGATCCACAGGTGCTTTCTCCTCTCTCCCCCTTCCACCCCACCCAGGAGGTGGGGCTGTGCGACGATCTCGCCACGCGTGGCTATGTGGCGGTGGCGCCCGACACGTTCGGCGGCCGCTGCACCACATGGATCCCCCGCGCCCTGGCACTGGCCTACCCGCACGCCCTCAAGCCGGGCGCCACCTGGGGGGTGGAGGCGGTGCACTCCGCTGTCGAATGGTGCGCGCCGGCGCACTGGGGAACTGCAGGGACGCACCGGCGCCCCATGCGTGGAATCCACCGCGTCGCCGCGCAGCGCAGCAGGGGCGCTCGGATGCCCCCCCACCTTCCACACGCCTCCCTGCGGTCCTTGTATGTGTGCACCCGCTCGTCCCCAAACGCTCCTCTCCCCGGGCCAGGGTCAAGCAGCAGCCGGGAGTCGACCCATCACGGGTGGCAGTGGCCGGCTTCTGCTACGGCGGCGGCTCCGCGCTGCGGTACGCGGCCGCCTACCCCGGCAGCGCAGCGGCCGTGGGCGTCTTCTACGGGCGGCCCCTCCAGGAGGGGACCGCGGCGGCCTACGCGGCCCTGGCCGCTGGCGGCATCCCGGTGTTTGGCGCTTTTGGGGGCCGGGACCAGCAGTTCCCCCCCGCGGTGGTGGACGCCTTCGAGGTGGGCCCGCTGCCCTGGCAGGCCGGGTTGCGGCCACAGGAGGCCGCTGGGACGGGGGGAAGCCCTGAGACTGGGACAGGAAAGAGGGGCCGGCACAGCCGTGCCATGGTGCCCGCTCTTGCCCGTGTATCGCAGGCCGCGTGCATTTATCTCAGGAGCAGCCTCGCAATCACTCCCAGGCTTCTCAGCAACAGAGTCGTACATAGCTGCAGAAGCGTGACGAACGCGCCCGCCTTCCCCCACTCCCTCAGTCTGAGCTGGCATCTGCAGGGGTGGCGTTCGACATCCGCCGCTACCCCAACCAGGGCCACGCCTTTATCGGGGACGTAGCCGCCACAAGGGATGCGGGCAGCGACGCAGCCGACGCGTGGGGCGCGTTTGTGGAATTTCTGGAGCAGCGGCTGTAGCAACCACATGGCACAATATCTGCCAGGCCTTGCCTGCTGCCTGCTGCTTGCGCACCTTTCATACATGGGAGGCGGTGCTACCCCTGTCCAGCATTCATTTCAAAGTTCTCTTGCCCAACACTGCTGCGCTATGACAATATGACAAGGCTTTAGCAGTCATTTTGGACGGTTGCACCAATGCGTCAGACATATGCCTGGGTTGAAACGCGACAGCGGTGGTGTGCCACGCCCCGTGTTTTTATGGCATCGTTTGGGAAATCCCTCGTGCTGCCCCGTCTGCCTTGTGCAAAGGGCATCATGGCGCGTGGTAACACATGCAGCAGCGGCTGAGCAATCGCACAGGCCGGCGTCAACGAGCGGAACAGGGCCACACGGATTGTGGTGGTCACAGCGCAAAAAACAGAGAAGGGCGTGAGCCATCTGGCCAGCTAGCCAGCCAACCGGCTGCAGCCTCCCTCCTTAGGCCTCCGTCTGCACCGACTCACGCAGCACCTGGCGGCAGCGGGGCGGGTGGAGGCACACCATCAGGGCATGAGTGCACGGGCAGTACAGGGGGACGTGTCATGCACGGTTGCGCTGCCTTGCTGGCGACCCGCTGAGCCATTCACCCACAATTTGGCAGCCCCCCCCCCCCTTGATGCCGCACCTGGACGACGCTCTTGAACGCAAACCACCTGGTGGGGCGGAAGAAAGGGGTGGGGGGGGGAACGAGGCACAAGGGGTACTTGTGGAACGAGGTGGGCGCTCAACATGGGGAGGGGGGGACCCACGAGACCATGCACCAGGGTGTAGCCATGCATGGATCGCAGACGCGGCTGCTGCAGTGCCCCGCATGCGCAAGGCCACCAGGCAGCGCAGCACAGGTGTGGCATATCAGGCGTCGTGCGGGCCGCGCGGCCTCACTCAGGGATGTCGTCGCCGCCACGCAGCATCTGGCGGAACTTGGTGCCTGGGGACAGGAGCAATGTAGCAGAAGTTGCGGGGAGAGTGAGAGCTGTCACAGTTTTGTGAGCGGCAGTCAGCATAAAGCCAGCAGACTGGGTGCAGCGCAGCAGTCCTGCAGAGCTGTCTTTCTCAAGCTGTTATGCTCTCAGGCCAGCGCCTGCCAGCCGCAGGGCCCACACTTTCCCGTGTGCCCGCTGCCGCCCCAGGCCGTGCAGGCTGGTGCTCACCCGAGAGGCTGAGGGTGGTGAGGCCCTCGGCCTTGGCCACGTCCGCAGTGACGTAGCCCTTCTCCTGCAGACCCAAGGAGAAGAGCGGTGTGAAAACATGGGTGCACAATTCACGAGCGTGGGACCCTCAGACAACAGTGCGACAGGGCGTCCAGTCACCCAGCGGCAGCAGCATAGCAGTGGCGCGCGCCTCGATTCTTGCCGTGCCGTGCGGTGCGGGCGGCCGACCTGTGTGTATGCGATGTTGAGTGACGGCACCGTGTCCATGCCCAGCTCCGCGGCGTTGTCCTTGGCCAGGTTCTGGGCGTCATAGGCGCCGTAGAAGTCCTCCCCGGACAAGGTGGACTTGCAGCCCGCCATGTCGCGGCCGATGATGAAGTGGGTGCAGCCTGCCCGCCAGGGGGTGGGGGGTGGGGGTGAGGGGTGCGTGTGGGACGTAGGCTTGGGCTGCTGGGTGGGGCCGTCACACCACACGCCCCACGTCTCGACACAGCCCTCCTTTGCCGATGCACTGAAAGCTGCCCACAATTGCATGGCGCTGCCGGCCCACTCCACTCCACACCCGCACCCAGCACGCGCACACACGCGTGCGCGCGCGCGCACACACACACACACACACACACACACACACACGCACGCACGCACACACACACACACACGCACGCACCGTAGTTCTTGCGGATGATCATGTGCTGGATGGCCTCCCTGGGCCCCGCCATGTGCATGGAGTAGGGCAGGTAGGCCCAGCGCAGGCGGGGGTTGTTGGCCTCAGCCTTGAGCACCTCGTAGGTCCGGTACCGTACCACACCCGGGATGTCGTCGTCCTTTCGGTGAATCAAGGTTGTGTGTGGGCGGGGTGGGGTGGGGTGGGGTGGGTGTAAGCATCAATATGCAAGGTGAGGGTCGGTCACGACAGCAGCGCTGGGCGATGAGCAGGGACGCTGTCTGCGCGCAGTCGGGGTGCAGCCCTGGCGCTGTTTTCAGTGGGGATGCCAGCATGTGGTGAGGCGCACAACAGCCCCGGGGTTGCCAGCGCCACGGCGCACCTGGGTAGGACCGCAAGTCTGGAAAGGACGGCGCCACCAGCCGGAACCAGGCACGCATGAGGGGCAGGTGGGGTTGGGGGGGCCGTGAGCTGGCTGCGTTTGTTGCATCCCCGGGCGCACATTGCTCTGTGATCAGCGCGTCCTGACCCCATTCGAGGGCCACGCAGTGCTGTAAACCCACAAAAAGCGGAGCACTCAGGCACAGAGCTGTGCGGTCCCCCTCCCAACCCACTCAACTACCCCCACACCCTACACCCCAC